CATTTATTAATCGAACTGTTAAAGTTTTGTTTCGAGTGATATTTATAAAATCTCTCTTCAAACAATTTTTCAGGAAAATATGTTTCTCTAATACAATAGTTGTTATTACTTTTTTTTAGTACTGATTGGGGGTTTCCTCACTAAATTTTGTTTAATGCATTGTGGACAGTCAGCATCCTGAAAATAGTATTTTTCTCTTTGTAGCTGCCGATGAAACTCATCAAGATATGCCATTACTCTTATTTGATAAGATTCTTTTTTTTTTATGATGTAGTGCGAGTAAACAAGATCAAAGTTCAGTCATTTTCAAAAGCCACAGTGTTCATTCGCTTAAAGATAATCTCAGCGTTTATCTGAGAACAAATTCCTATATAGCTGATAGTTTTGATATTTCTGCACGACATGCATAAGATCGAGAGAGTTATCAAGAACTGACAAGGCAATTGAAAGCAGAACTTGAGTTTTTAGATGAATGCTGTCTGTTTGCATTATCATGTGATGACGGACAAAACTACCTATGGCGCAGCCTATTCTGTGTTCAATTTCTTTATCTCCTATACTAAATTTCTTATAACTGATCCATACACGGAGGTATATGAATTGTTTAGCATAAATGAATTACACATTCTGAATTCTTAATGAAAGATTCATGGTTATGTGTCACCGCTGCTTTTATTTCAAAACTAGGTCCTATTTTCTCTTTGGTAAGTTGAAAGCTTTTGTTCTAGATATGAACACCGACCTTTGTCTCTGAGGATTTCCCATGTAATTACTTTAGATATACGTTATTAACCACCTTTCGTTTTAAACTTAGCACTAACATGTTTTCGCTAGGTTTTGTCTTGCCCCACTTCAAGTGACACTACTCTGAGTGCTTTTTAAATGTTTCGCAATGCATTAGTAGCATTTAATGAAGAGACTCTGTTTTTAGGAATTATGTAAGATGTTTCTTTTAGAAACAGTGTTTTGCTGACGAAGAATGAAAGTAATCTTCTGCTGAACCACTTTGCTGCATCTTCTATATTCTTCGATCCTTTTCACTCTTTTCGTTTAAACATATTTTGGCTTACTTGCTCTTTACTACAAAGCATAGAAAGGATGTCCGTTTTAAAGCCTCAGCCCGCAGCGATATCGTTGTCATTTGATATCGATTTTAGTAATTTTATTACTTTTTTGTGCTAACATGAAAAAACTGAAAGCGTCTAGCTTTGGTAAGAATAATACACAAAAAGGAAAGTAAGCGAGAATATTGTTTGGAATAGAGATAGAGTTGGAATCGATATAGGAATATAAAGATTTCGTTATATTAATCGAGTATGAAAAGAGCGGGAATGGGAAAATGTTGCTAGGACTAGGTTTAAAGAGGTGTGTAGAGAAAGTAAATGCAAATTCTGAAAGGAGAAAATGTCTGAGCTAGAAATAAGTATAATGTATTTGAATAACAGAAGGAAAAACAAAAAGAGTGAAATGACTTTAAACAAAAGTTTATAATTATCAACTCATTCATTCGTATTATTAAGTGTTCAGGCCAAAATACTGTATGACGTATCGACCATCGTCTAAAGAGTATACGAGCACATCGTAAACACCTGAAAACAATCGGCTTATGACCAAATGACTCTGAAACACCAGTTCCCGTACGATCACCGAAGTTAAGCAACGTCAAGCCTGGTCAGTGTCTTTTCTACAAATACTTTCATATTAATTGTTTGGACGATCTCTTTGCTATGACACCAAGACTTTTTTGAATTTAAGCGCAGTATTAGTCTGGCTTCGACATCTCATTGATTTACAGTTGAGATGGCCAGATGCAACCGTAAATTCTATGATAACTGTTTATTTTCTCGCACTTCCGGCTCCATACATTCCAGTCAACTTTAATCTGGAAAAATTTAAATGTCATGTAAATTGCTATCTACTGTCCTCCTGGTTACTCTTTCCTCTTCCCGATCATTATTAATGTTTCTGTTCCTATATATTCCTAATTATCCCACACCCTGTAATCTATTGTGTCTTAGTGACTTTATTGCTTTTCATGGGGTGATACCACTTAATTTATTTTTAAATAAAGGTACCAAGTTGCGCTACACCTTGAAAATACCAGATGCTGTAAATTTGTATGTACTGATGGTGTAATAGATAATAGCTCAGAATTTTTAATCGGAGATCCAAGTTTAAATTCATGTTGGGTTTGTTAAATTCACTTATGCTCAAATACCCTTAGAGACTCTATTATTCTATCAATTCTCCCCAACTATGGGTTAATTAATAAGACTTGTATCAGTAAAACATTATTGTCTAAAAAAATTCTTAGAATTTAAAAATAATTTCTAACTTTAAATAAATCTCAGTGGGTTAATAAGCTGTAGAAAATGAGTCAATGAAAGCAACCATTATGAAAAGAAAAATAAACTATTATATTATACGGACGAAGGTGTATCAATAAGTTCGTAACCTAACATGAAGATATTAAAGGGATTCTATCTGAAACCCTCACTCTATAATGTTCGAATTAAAATTATTTTCCACTAAATGAATTATTGTAAATGGAAACATTTGTGAGTGTTGTGCAAATCACTGTATTTTTTCACCGCCAGACTAAAGTTCTATTGATTTACCTATATTAGTTCCGTATGGAATTACAAACTATTTTTTAGTCAATTGTTTGTTCCTGCTATTACCAGGAACAAGTTGAAAAACATTAAATAGCGCATTCTGTCTAAATTTCTAAAATGAAGACGTATGATGTTTAGGGCATGATCTATTAAAAGACGTGTTCTATACTTGTTTATCAAGGTTAGAAAGTCACGATTTCGTAAATAAGAGCGTTGGTTAAGAGCGTCTAGTTATTTGGCAGCCATTGATTCAGTCTCGGTGTTTGGGAGTTAAAACCATGATTTGTTTCTACAGTAAATGAGCAAAAGGAAACCATATTTTGAAGAATTAAAATACTTCAAATAAAAAAAAAAAAAAAAAAAAAACGTTAATGAATATATCACAAGCTATGGATTAATTGCTATTCTCTCGTATGTATAGAAATAAAGGTTTAGTTACTTTTTACCCATGATAAGCATCATTTGTTTAGATATTTTCTATGAATTCGGATAATTTGAAACATATATATATATATATATATATATATATATATATATATATATATATATATATATATATATATATTGTATTAGGTAAGCCAATCAGTATTCAAACATATATTGTTAAATATAACAAACAACGAATATCTGTTATGTTTGATCATGAGTTGTTCGAAGCTTTGTATATTTGAATTAATTTCGGGAGAAAATAAAGACAAAAACTGTTCAATATTTGAACATTTTTTATTATGCTGTTCCCAGATCTAAGCTTTCGTCTCACTTGATGATGCCTCACTGTGATGATGGCTCATGTGAGCCGAAACCGTAGATCAAGAAGCATAATAAGAAATATCCAGATGTTGGATAGTTTTTGTCTTTAGTTTCTTTGCGAAGATAAAGCAACTATACAAAGCTTAGAACAACTCATGATCAAACGTAAAACGTTTGTTGTCTGTTATATTTAACAATATATGTTTGAACATATATATATATATATATATATATATATATATATATATATATATATATATATAAAAGATGTTATGTGTTTTCTATTTATTAACGTAAGAGATTTGATAACTTACACGATTTAGTGGGCGCCAAAATTTGAGTGGACACTCCGTTTATTTATCGAACAGCATATTTTTCCGCCTACCGATCTGAGTATTCGAGAAATCTTAATAAAGGAAACATGCCCTCTAATGACACTATTGGTCTTCTGCCTCTGGCACCTTCTTCCTCTCAGTAGTTAGCTCCGCTATCTTTCTTGAGTAATAACGAATTTACGAGATTTCCGGCTATCTATTGGTGCAAGTGCGTCGTTTCGATGAGTTAAATTCGGGTCTTCCAGACACTTACAATATTGGGATTGGTGACGAAATTTTGTGTGATCCCTTCTATGGACATTGTGTACCGTAGTTAAGAATGAATGATTCTCAGCTTACAGCCCTTTGTAACTTTTGAATCTTTGCTTACTAGGCCATCGTCGGGAATCAATTTGGAATAAGAATTTCTTTAATAAATTGCACAAAACTATTGATAACTCTAAGAAGTAGGTTTAATAATTATAAAAAGAAAAAAATAAATTGATGAATAAAATGTCTCTATTATTTACCGCTAAATCAAGTACTCCGTTTTGTGTGTGATGTTGATGTGAGAATCTAGCAGTAATTTCTATAAAATAGTCGAAGCGACTGCTAGTCATACACGTGCCTGTGTGTTCGCACCGCCCAGCAAAAATGCGTGTGTTTATTGTGAAACACCAGAAGTCTGACGTCTCCTTATCAAAACTGATTCTTCGTCTGTGGGTTCGGGCATGGTGGTCTCTCGTTTATATAGATGACTCCCACCCGAAAAAATTGACACGGACTTAGCTAATTTCTCCACCCTGACGATCTTAATATTAAGTCTGTTAATAAACAACTAACACTCGTTTTGTCTTTACAATTTTCTAACCTTTATTACTGTAAATATAATGACGTTTTGGAGCGAACAACATCAACATAAACAAATCCCAACATTAAGTATTAGACATAATTCAGATCCATTCTTTGTTTACAAGAATTTGGGTCTCACTTTTCTGTAAGAATACACACGTTGTAAAATGATAGTATAATGAAAACTAACTCCCGAATGTAATTTATCAAGGACATAAAATTCTTACCGACGGGAAGAGTATAGGGCGAAGAACCTTGGTTTTGATCAATTTTACTGAATCTTGTCTAGTTAATTATGGGTTAGATTCTACTTGGAACCGTAATTTAAACCATAATTTTTAAACCGTTTCTTTTCTCGTTTTGTTCTCAACCATTCAACCTATTCTCCTGAGACTTTTATTAATCATTATCCAATTAGTAGTCCCTCCGACACAGACCTGCAATTTTATGCAGTTGATCATTTGAACAGGGTAAGTACGTGGAACGCTCGATGTCTGCGAGGGCTTATCACCGTAATAGCCTAGATATGGATACATCTAAGTTATATTTAACGGATTCCTGTTTAATTCTATCTATCTATCTATCTATCTATCTATCTATCTATCTATCTATCTATCTATCTATCTAACCTAATATATATATATACATGTGTGCGTATATATATATATATATATATATATATGTGTGTGTGTGTGTGTGTGAAGTTGAAATTATATGAAGGTGGTAAACAATATAACATCAAAGCAGACCTATGGGAGGCAAATAAAACTACCATGTTGGAAACTGAACCTGCTGAAGTAAAAAGAATTATCGAAATCAATAGATTATAAATTTGTGGCTGTTATTGAGAAAAAGGGCCAAAATATTAAAATGCAGAGTATTCAAGGACCTATCATATATGTTTGTTATTTGTTATATTATAGGTATTGATCAATTTTTGATGATCTTGTTACCTTTTTCTTGCAGTAAAATGGGATTATTTGTTTTTGCCTAATATCTTCAGAGATCAGTATTTTGGGAATACATCAAATAACTTCAATAACTTCAAGAAAACATAGATATTATGTACATTTTTAACTCAGGATTGGTTTTGATATCTAAATTGATTCTTTAACATTTGACAAGTTCTTTTCAAACCAAATTTTAATTATTGAATTTTATATGACTTGCTTAATAACTTAAGACTGGACACACACACACACACACACACACACACACACACACACACACACACACACACACATATTCTAAATTCATATATATATATATATATATATATATGAATTTAGATCGTCATTTTACCAACTTGAAAAGTCGAGCGATAACATTCTAGCTAAGAAGATTGCTGGTTGGTCTATCTATCTATCTATCTATCTATCTATCTATCTATCTATCTATCTATCTAAATATTTATAGATAGTTAGATAGATAGAGAGAGAGAGGAAGAGAGAGAGAGAGAAGCAATCTTCTTAGCTAGAATATTATCGCTCAACTTTTCAGGTTAGGATATAATGACCGCTCTGAATTCATTCACCTGTAATCAACTGTCCATTTTTCTAGAAAGGAACCAATCTTTTTCAAAATCGATAAGTATCCTTCCGCAAACGAAGGAATCGAAATAAAATTTAGGGATGTTCACCAAGCCTTTTTTTTATCCGGTGGAGCAATCCTTAGAAGTCTTACCTGGATTCCTTATTGGCGGCCACAATCTTAACAACAAGAAATAGGCTAATCACACAGCGCTGATAGCAGCACACAGAAAAGAAACTACTACAACTCTAACAAAAGTTAATAAAGAGACACGAGAAGAAAGGAATAATCATCAATTGTATAAAAAAAATGTATAGTTAAAAGCCACCACAAAAAAAATTGCAAATTGGTGATACCAAAAATAAACAAGTACAATAATTTAAATACCTAGGAATTTTTTTAACGGACGATGGAAAATGCGACAAAGAAATCAAAAGGCGCACAGGGATAGCGAAAGACGACTTCCAAAATTTAAAGCAAAGTTCTAAAATACAATAACGTTTTATTGGAAACAAAGAAATTATTACGGAATTCTTATGTAATATTGCCACTCCTATATGGCAGGGAATTCTGGACCATCTCATAAAAGATGGAGAAGAGACTTGAGACAACAAAAATGAGATCCGACAGAATGTTACAGAAAATAACATGGATTGATCACGTGAACAAGTCCATTGATGGTTGACATGATAGATTCGTGAATATCCGAACTACCTCGACTCTATAATAATAAACAACAATTACAAAAAAAAAAAATAAAAATAAAAAAACTTAATAGCCAAAGATCTTCGCGGGCTGTAATTTTTAGAACTCTTTTTGGATTACCTGGAAAAATAGGATTTTCTTCATTTTGTTTTCGAGTTTCTTACTTTATCAGACCCCAAGTTACAACCAAAAACAGGGAGAGTTTTGGTTCTTAAATGCCACATTTCTCTATTCCCATCTCTAGATTTTTAATATTTGCTCAGTTTTTTTTTCCAAAAACTTTGCAGAGACGTTTCTTTCAAATGCTATTCCTATATAAGTCAGTGTGCAGGCATTTTTTCTGTCTTTGATAATAATATCTGGGTGATCTGATTGTATTGTTCGAACGTTGTTGATAGAGAATAATAATAATAATAATAATAATAATAATAATAATAATAATAATAATAATAATAATCATTTCCATTTCAATTGCTTTCTGTTGTATACAAATTTCTTCCCTCTCCCAACCAGAGATTAAGGTCAGAAATGGCTTTCCGGCATATTCCACAAAACCCCTAATGTCACACACATCTTACAAAGAAAGAGATCTTTTATTATTATTATAGTTGGGTCCACGTCTTCATATTTTTTAAAGATAATTAAATTCATGCGCTTGCGTATCTTTCTTATTATTTCAAAATAAGAAGCACTAAATGAAATGCTGTGACTTTTAGGCTAAGGTACCAAAATCTTATGTCAGATATTCCTATCAAGACAGGTGTTGTTTCAGTGTTCAAAGTTATGTCGATTTTCGTGAATTCTGGAAATGAAACAGTGAAGGCGATGAAGTCTTGTTCATGAAAAATAAAACATAAATAAATATAAAAATAGGAGGGGGAATAGAAAGGTCAAATTAGGGGGGGATTAATTAATAACACTGGCAAGGGCAAGTAGTAAAACCACATGAAACCATATAGATAGAATTAACCACTGACTTCGACACCTGAAGAAGACCTTAGGGTAGAAAGATTAAAACAATGAGAATATGGCAACCAGGATTAATTACGTTGATCAGCAAATTGATGTCTGGTGCATTTTAATTTGCAGCCAAGCTTCCTCAAAATGAAGGATTCTCATGTTACAAACGGTATTAAGATTTTCACGTAAGAGTTATAAAATTAGAAAGACAAATCAAAATGGTGAGAATGGAAAATGCCCCATCATCATTCAGTTTTTCTAAAAAGAAACATGAAAATTAGGCTTATGACGTTTTGAAAACGCCATTAATTTGTTTTACTTACTTTCAAACTTTTAGAAGTTTTATTTTTCAATTTTCTAATGATGCAATTAGATCGCAGTTAAATATTTTAACGCATTTAACAGTTTATAGCCGTAGCATGACCTAAAACTTACAAATAAACAAAAAAAGAAACAAGTTCTAGAAGGTGCCATATCTTTATATAAGTGTCCAATAAGTCATAGTACTTCTATACTTATATCCAATTTTAGAAATTTCATATTGGGCGAGACATTTATAAAAGAATAACTGAATTAAACCGTTCTGCATTATTTATGAACAAAAGTCCATCGAATTAATATACAGGAAATCAATTATTTTATAAAATGTCAAAAATTTATAACATTAAGGTACATATAAATAAAATCAAAAGAATAGAAGGATGACAGAATAAAAGTAGAAAGAAAAGACAAAAGGTAGAAAAATTAAGACAGAAAAAATAAAGCGAAGAAAAAGGAAGAAACAATAAAAAGGAACGAAAGAAAAGGAAATAATGAAATGAAAAGAATAAAGACGTATTGTAAAACGAGAAATAAATAAGAGAAAAAGAAAGCAGAAAGACAGAAAGAGAAAGTGTTATGTTGACGAGAGAGGATTTTTTTTGTTTGTTCTTCACGTGTGAGTTCGAAACTTCGTCGCCACTTGTTATGGTCCAGGTCATTGTACGCGGTGATGGTCCAAGGTAGAACCAATAAAGAAGAACTCGAACACGGATATGGAATAACACAGATATATTACAAACAGGAATATATACAGAGAAGTAGAAAGTGTTAGTACGAACAATGAGGTTTAGTAGGGAGAACAATGTAGTCTCGACCAGTATCACTATTCCAATGTTTTGTAGTAATTGTCTGAACGCGACTCTGTTTCGGACTGTCTCTGACTCGACTCTTGACTCGACTGACTGACTCGCTCTGACGGATCTCACTCCAGACTTCAGACTGAACGAAATTTAGTCACCCCACCCACGAGGGCATCATGTGGCACAAGGCCGGTTTAACGTGGGCTCGGCCAAAAATATGCCCTTTGAACCCGTATAAACGGGTTCAGGGTCGGGTTACCTCCGCGAAAGAGAGTCCGCTCTTCGGCGTAGCCTCGTTCGGGTTCCTCCCCGCCCGAAGGCAGAGAGTTCAACCGATCAGCCGGTCGCCTGACTTCGGGCTGAACTCTCTGCTTCCTCTTGAGGCGCAGTAATTATTACGTATGGAATAGTCCATTATGTTCTTATGGTTAAGGTCCCGTAACAGAAAGAAACAAGAAAAATAAGGTAGAAACAAAATGAAGAAAGACAAATTTGTTATTAATTTTCTACGGCGTATCAACCCTTTGAATTTTATTTAAAATCAGAAAATATTTTCAGATTGTAGGTAAATTATTTGAGATAATAAGAATTTAGTGATACAAGTCTTACTAATTAGCCCATAGTTGGGGAGAAGAGGTTGATTCATGCCTTTCCCAAAGGTATTTGCACGTAGAGAATAAAATTAAAAGGATTTGGAACTCGTCTCTCCGATTAACAATTTCAAGACATTATCCCTTGCATCACCCGTACATGCAACTTTGCAGCACCTGGTATTCACAAAAGGATATCAATCTAGGTGCTGACCTGGCTTGACGTTGCTTAACATTGGCAATCGTACAGGAGCCGGTGTTTTCACGTGATGTGGCCGTAGGCCCCGAACTCAGAAAAAAGACAGTAAAGTAAGAAATAATTAAAATATAATTAAATAGAAAAAGGAAAGAATGAAACAAACAGAAAAAAATAATGAAAGAAAAATCAAAGGAAAATGCAAGCCAGAGATAAAAAAAAATGAAATATGAAAGAAAGAAAAAGAAAGAAAATAAAGGGAAGAAAGTAAAAGAAGACAAAAACAGAAAGTAGACGAACAAAAACAAAAAAAAAAAAAAAGAATAAGAAACACATAATTAACAAAAGAAAGAAAAAATAATGATAAAAGAAAAAATAAGGTAAGAAGTAAAATGGAAATATGAAGGTAAAACGAAAAAAATGTTAGAAAAATATATAAAAAAAACAAAAGATTAAAGCAAGAAAAAAAATAAATGAAAAAAATGAAAGAGAAGGAACGAAGAAAAGAATATATGATTGACATGTA